GTGGTCAAGCTAAGACTGGCACGAGGGTATGAAAACCCTAACCAGGAAACTGGCTCACACAGGTCCCGTTAGGCTCCCTGGAAGGGGACCTCGGGATGATCGTAACCGATGGTTAGCTCCACTGAGTGATATGGCTGGATGTCGCAAACAGTGGCGTTTGTGCATCTTTTCAATTTTCTTGCAACCTTAGACCACTGAGCTTCTCCATTTTCTGTTCGATTCCACTTTCAACTTTCCTTTCTTCTCCTATTCTTCATTCAAGTGGGCAGCCAAAAGATAGCAGCCAAAACCGGCGCACAAATAGGCGTGGTTAATGGTTGTACAAAACGAAATTGAATTACCTATTCAAAACACCTTCGTACATGGTTTAATTCTCTTTTGTTCGACAATAAACTTATCAGTTGATCACGGATTTTACGATAACGATTATTGCAATCCGACCCCAGACCCCAATGAAACCAATGAAACCCAATCCTACATTTCCTTTGTTCTCGTCAGGTTATCATAAACAATGATTGTTTAAGCCGTTACACTCTGTCTTGTATTAAACTGTGCAAGCTCGGTCTTCCTGTGTAGTCTGGACTCTTCACAGATGTACAGTAACCAGATAGATCACTGGTCATACCAGTAAAACGTTGACCAATACGATCCCCTCTGCGGTTCTGCATTCACTTTGGACTGTGATTGATGAGTGCATACTGCAGATCAGATATGTGGTGAGTAAAACTCTGGGGAAATGCTGTTTAGACCAACTGTGTGATCTGCATTCGATAACAGACTTCTTTATTGAGATTTTATTCGCTTCGCTACTAAAAGTCGCATGGATTGGGTGCCGGTGCTCATAAATGAACAAAAGGATTTTTCATCCCCTTCTGTCGTTTATTACGTATCAGTATGCAAAAATACAAAATCAAAGACACAGTGAAATAAGCAAGATGAGTCGGAAAATAAACCAAAACAACCTGGTAAAGTATTAGACAGTAGCTTACTTGACTAAATTCCAGAGTCCATATAGAGGACACAGATGTTTCCTTGTTTTGTTTACCGTGTTCAATACATCCCAGATGTGTTTTTATAATCTTAACAATCCAGTAACCAATGGCTTCGATCAGTTGGCGCATTCGAGATTCTGGGAAAGGTTGTATAGCTTCCGGATCCAGACAGCGCCACAATTCATCTAGGGTGTCTGTCACATGAGTATCTAATACGTCCAGAAGCTCAGTTAGACCTAAGCCAATGACATTGTCTGCATTCCTGTCACTGGAAGATTTGGACTTTGAAATAATTGCATTCGTGTGAGCGGAGTTTTCCAAGCACAAACACTCCTTGACTGCAGGTTCCAGAAGACGCACAAACAAGTCAGCACGACGCCGCTCCGAGCTTGTGCTGTTTTTCTGCTTGGTGGAAACACTTTTCCAATGATCCATTTCGTCCGACAAACTGAGAATATCTTTGAATATAAAATTTAAAAGCATTGATGTCATTAAGAGGAATCAAGCAATATGTTGAGTCATAAGAGATTAAGCGACTAACAAGAGACATATGGTCTATCATCTGTCATGCAAGAGGCACCAAAAGTTGACGAAGACTAAACACAGCACGGTGCGCATCTAAAAGTTGGAGGTTTGTCACTCTCATAATAATCCATCTTTCTTTATCCGTAAATAAACCAACAGATTTATTCGTCCAACGTATACCACGTGACCAAAGCTGTTACAGGTTTGAAACGAGTCATTTAGTTTCAACGTATGGATGCCTAGTGAACAGAACATAGAAATTAGGTATTAAAAGACACAGTTGTCATATAACTTGGTTGACCGAGGATGAAGTACTGGGTATTCCGTTAAAAATGTGGGTTCGCGTAACTACCAGTATGCTCTGCTCAACTTCCCGAATTTCAGTGCACTGTGATCATCTGATATGTGGTATAATATTTGTACTTTTATGGTAAATCTATCCTGAGTGATGATAACATATTCAGCTGAGTTTCAGTTACAGTTTATGCAACCAAAAAGCCAGTCCCTCGATGTGGCGGTTTTGGTATTTTAGTTTTAGTTTTTACAACCAATAACCATGCACTTTCGTGCACCGGTTTTGGTTGCTGTCTTTGGTTGCCCATTTGGATAAAAAGAGCGAAGTGAAGATTAGAATGTCTAGGCAAATTCAA